TCATCAACCATCAAATTAAAAAAATATATATATATTTATATTATGCTTTTTCCCTTTGTTTTTTAAATATTTTTTATTCAAAATATTTTTCTTGTGTGCATAAAAATAGTTTTTAAATTCAAGAACTCATATTACTACATTGCCTTTTGTTACATATTACTACATTTTTTATCGATTCAGTATTTTGTCAATAAAGAAAAGTGTTATTCAAATCCCAAATTAATGTTCACTCCTTCTAGTAACTTTTATGATGGCGAAGTTGATGGATGCAATAAAGTTTAATGCTATTTCTTGTTTTCTTACTATTTGACAGTTGTAAACATTACATAATTTATTAATGAAGCTATGAAAATAGTATACCATAATACTTCAATGAGATTAGATAAGGGGCATGAAATGAGAGAGTATATTAGTAACAAGATTGAGTTTATCATGGACAGAAGTAAGTAAATATAGCTTTATAACTTTTCTATTTAATTCATTTCAATTGTTTATTTTTAAATTGTCTGCTTCCTCAATTATGGATCGCGTTATAACCGTTGTAGATATTTTAATATCTAGTTTCATTGTTACTCCTTTATTAATATGTTTTTGGTGGGGCACCTGGTCTTTTCAAATTTATTCAAATGCTTTTCCGATTTTATGGTCTTTATACATCAGTACTGGCCTAGTATTTGTTTTCACTTTACTACGTGAGCCCTTGTACGAGAAAAGAATGCCTGGAGTAGTGGGTTTGTTAATCGCAAGGATATATATTTACGCATTCGCTTTATGTTGTATAACACAATTTTATGCTGCATTTACCATTTTGGATCGATTAATGGACGTTCGAATGACAATAATTTCCGTTGTGATAGGCGTCTTCTTAATGTCTTATCTCAGAAGTCTCGGAACTTTACTTGGCCCTCCTTATTTCTTGTTCTTGGATCACAAACGGAAAACAGTTTTTATTTATCCAACCATGTTTCAAAAAGGTGTAAGTATAATATTTATGTATTTTTGTTAAATGTACAGATGTTTTGCTATTATTCATGTGCTTGTTATTTTGACGAGATTAATATTTATTGAGATCCAAAATAATGATTTGTTTTCCTGAAAATTTTAATAGGCACTAATTTAAAAAAAAAAAACTACTTGTATACATTATTCAAATAAAATTTTATTGAACAATTATTTAAATAAAAATTAAATTATTTCATCAGGTCAACAGAAAATTCCTTTAACCTGTTGATCTTCAAAACAATTGCCCTATATTTTTCAATTGTTATATGTTCACAATTTTCCACCTTTCAGAAGTAACAGGACGATAATTTGTTTTTAAAACAAAATTATAACTGAAAAAATAAATAATTTTATAATTAAGACTGTAAGGACTTTAGAAAAATTATCCGTTAAACTAAAAAGAGACTTATATGTGCTCTGGCCTAATGCAATTGTCAAATATGGATAATTATCCCTTGTTATTAAATATTATCTTAAGGTCAATAACAAACATTAAAAAAAAAATACTTAAGCTCATTAATATTAACACTGAATACTCTTAATTATAACCATTTTTAGTATGATTTATTTTATTTTTTTAATTTAAAACATCAACCCATATTTTATTAATCATATAATTATGCTAATACTTTTTATAGTGTGGGAAAAAAAAAAACAACAGAAAAACTAAAGGCTACAGCCCTACCATAATATTATATCTCCTACAAATAATTTTAAAAATTTAACAAAATAATTTTTTTGGGAAATTGTACTATCAATTTTTTTTCAATGGTTTTATTTCCATAATGGACATATAATCTCTTATTTCACTTCAATTAAATTATATTTAACAACATAAGACACTTCAACTTATTTGCCCATTTTCAAGTCAAGATAGTCAACATATAAAAAAATATTTACATAAAATATTATATGAGGAGTTGGTCGGGGGGGTGCAGTCAAATAAATACTAAATTTTTACCAATTGGCGTAAGGATTAAAATGCTATTTCAATTAGTATTTATTTAATCGCACCCTCTGTCCAATTTCTTCTCATATTATATCACGGTCAACCATCTCAACACCATAAAATATTATAAATACCAATATTTTTTAAAGATTGAAAATATATTAAATTAATATTATCAAGCTAAAACAAAGTACTATGAACAGTCATCTACAAGTGTAGCAATTATTTTTATCTTGAAATAAAACAAGAGACAAAATGAGAAATGGCAAAAAAAAAAAAAAAAAAATTAATTTCTAAATAATAAGATGATTGATTATTTTAATAAATTTTTTCGGTTGGCTTAAAGTCTCAAATACTCAACAAATTCACCGTTTTAGTATTCTAATTTATTTTAATTAAATCCATAAGAAACTTCTTACTCCTTTCTTATTTATTATTGTCTACAGACTAATGTATATTGAAACTGAGGTCCACTTTTTTATTTTGTTTACTTTAAAAAACAAAACAATGTATGATGAAATAAAAATCAGTTAAGCTTACATTATTTTGAAACAATCAATGTTAATATATTAAATTGCTTATATTTAATTTCAAAACTATATTTAATTGGTGTCCAGTGTTGTTTTGCTACCTAGTAAGATTTATATACACTAGAATATTATTTATCTTGTAATTATAATGTTCATTAAATAATTATTTTCAAAAATCTAATTTCCTAATAGTTTCAACATAATGTTGCCCTAAAAGTTTTTTGGGATCGTTTTTATTTAAGTTTCGCCAGTTATTTTTTAAAGTAAAATAGTAATAGTTACTTTTAGGATAATAACATTATTATTTAGAAATCATATATCATAAAATAATAACTATGTCATTGAAAATTAATATTAAACAATAGATAAATAAAAAATAAGTTTACTTTGAATTTCTCATTGCATGTAATATTTCATGTAATGTCCTCGGGAACCTATCCTTTTCCTGTGCATATTCGTTTCTTTATCATCATTTTGATACTCTTCATTTGTGATGAAAGAATGTTATTTTATTTTAAGAAGTTGTTTTTAAAATTTCATTTACTCAATAAAACAATACAATTATGATTCAGATTAGTAACGTCATTCGTACAATCGTAAATTTTTTTTAAAATCATGTATATATAAAAAATCTGTAACAGTTCTAAATAAGTGACAAAAAAGTAACTGGTGATACTTAAATAAAAAAGATCCCGTTTTTGTATCCGTTGCAAAATTAACAATATTTTTTATTTGAATAGATTAAAAATGTTAGTATAAATTATGAACATTAGTGAACTAAACTACTATTGTTTATGATATCAACTATTGATGTTTCAGATAAATTAGTTAAACTTTTTAGTCATTGTAAGAACTAAACTCATGCTAACTTTTAAATATTTTTTTTTTTTATACATATAATAATGAGAAAATAAATAATTATTGTTTTGAATGCTGTATGATTCTTTTGGTCTCATAAAATATTAATTTTAAAAAATTAATAATTTCCCACAATTGCTTTGTTATTTCTTTAACTTCAGATTATTAACAGCTAAATTATTATTCATATTTTCAAAAGAAATTAATTTACTATTACGACTACTAAGCCCAATAAATTTTCATGTTTAATTTTTAATAATAACAAAATATGCAACTAAAATTTATTTTTATCCTTTAAAATTACTATAATAGACAACTCCATTCAAATTAAGTTTATATGTTCAAATATGATAAAGTGGCTGATAAAAAGTAAATATTTAAAACAATAATAAAGATATATGTTATCATTGGACTCAAGGAGATGGGGATTCTGAACTGATGCACACCACCTAAAAAAAAATAGTTAAATAATTATTTTTTTCATTGGTGCATATTTATTTCTATGTGTTATAGGTTATAAATATTTAAACAATCACATGTCCTTATTTTAAATTGTAAGGCATAAATTTCAGTTATTAAAAATTTGCCTTCCAAAATTAAATACTTAATCTGTTACTATATGTTATTAATTACATACTTAAAATTATATACCATGAAGTTTCAACGATGAAATAAAATATATTTATTAATAAACTATTTGTGTAAATTATTTATATATGGTTTAATTTCATAATTACATTATAGTTTGAAATAAATAACTTCCAGTATGATTTATAAATTGACTTTATACTTAATAATTATATCAGGATGATAAACAGTAAAGATTTTTGGTCTAGATTTGCTTTATACAGTTTAACTCTATTATATTATTTTGTAAATCCTGTATTGTATAAATCATCATTACTCTATTGTATTCTAATTCTTTTTTATAATTCGAAAATTTATTTAATTTATTCTTACTTTTTTAATGGGTACTTCTTATTCATTTTTTATTTTATTTTCTCTTGGTGTACTTTTGTTTTTGTATAACTATTATCTTATGTGTACTATTTATCTTTTCTATTGGCTTATTCATGCTGTATACGTTTGTCTATATCTTATATTTCTGATTTAAATTTTTATTTATAACCCTGATGATTCATATACTTGGAAAAAAAATAAAAAAAGGCAAGCTTAATAAAAAAATTCTAGACTAAAAATCCTGACTGTTATACTAATAATTACAAAAAAATCTTAATCGATACATATTTTTTTTTACAATAAATATAACTATTTTTTTATTTGTAGAAGAAGGTATACAAAATATAGGCTAATAGGATTCTATTTTGTTTTTTAAAAATTCATTTATTATTTATTATTTTTATAGATAATATTCATTTTAAATATAATAAATATTTTTTTAATAACAAATATGTCTATAAACATTATTTAATAAGCAATTATATTAATTTAATTTATAGTTTGTTTGATATTCACATTGAAAAACAAATAGAAAATTTAATTTTCATTTACTTCTGTTGTCACATGAATGTTTACCTTCATAATCCACTTACGTAAATATATTTTTATATATGATATGCTAACCAAATTTACTGTAGTTGTCATAATTGTACTAAATAATGATAATATTAGTTTAGTAGGTTGCTGCTCTCTAACAGGAAATGGTCAATTCCCAGTGGTCAAAACTTAAGTAGCCAATTATTTAATTTAAAAATAACTTCAACGTTTTATCACTATTTTTAAATGATTTAACATTTTCTTATGAGTGTGTGCGGGTTTATTATAGTTTGAATATTTTATAGAAAAGTTAATGTATCTTGAATTGCCGCTGAATATAATATTGATGATCTTATGCGATATAATAATCTTTTTTTTTCTATCTGGAAATATATTGGTGAAAGGCGGGATATTAAGGACCACCTCTTCCTAATGTGGCCAGTTGATTGCAGTAGTGCATGGTGGGGAGAGCTGGCCAGATTGTCCAGTGTTGTCAGGATGAGAGGCAGTACAGCAGGAATAACTGACGGTCTTCGGGGTATCTCAAACAGTTACTATTTATTTATAACGTTCCTCGACAGTTTGTTAGCTGCGCTTGTGATATCTCCATTGGTCGTGAGCTACTGGCGAGGGACATGGGAGCTCATGGGTTACTACGTGTATCCTCAAGATATGAAAAAAAGCAGTCTTGTATCCTTGCTTATCGGACTAGGCGGTATCATGTTATTTACAATGACTCAGAAATTTTATCCAAAGATGCTGAATCCAAACAAACATAGAATTTTATACTATGTAATATCCAGAGTGTATACAGCTTGTTTCGGTTTTGCGTGTATCAATTCATGGAGGGGTGGTTGGGTAGCTCTCGATGCCTATACTTCGACAGAACCTCGTTCCGTAATTTTTATCACATGTGCCTCAATCATCATTCTTATTATGACAAAGACAATACGGAACATTTCAGCCCCGCCGTTTGCTATTGTCACCGACAGATATGAAGGCTACTTTGATGTGCCTACGCATTTCAAAACAGTGAGTTACTTATAAAAATAAATATGTTTATAATATTCCTGTTTTATCAAGGGCCACATAAGACTATATTAATGTGTAACGTTTCAACAAAACAAAAACAAAATTCAAAAATATAAATTAAAATAAGTATCAAATGTAAGATAAGTTTCGTGAAAGATATAATTTTTTACAAATTCCATAATATTATTTTTTAAATGTTCATTTTCTTTAACGAGGAGCTATTAAAAAACATTTTAAAATTAATTTATCATAGTAATCATATGATAATGTTTCAAGTTTTTTGTCCATTTCAAGTCCAAAAGATATCTTTGTAAATATATAACAACTGTTATCAGTAAATAAACACATATCAACACAATACCAGAAAAAAACATATTCATTCATTAACACATTTCATTTATTTGATTGGTGAAATAACCGTGTGTAAATGTAACATCAGTCTTCTTCTGTCAGTTAAAAAATGTTATATCTTGAAGATATGATAGCTTCAACCACTAGAAACCCTGTTATCTGTTTGTGCAATGTCTGATATGTTGAGATTTATTTTGTTTTTGACACAAGTGCTAATGAATGTATACAATCTAATTGTGGAGTTAGGTGGTGTCTTAGTTTAATATCAGGTGGCTCTCAGCAGTAGTATTTAATTTTGGGGACTAACTTTTATTATTATTTTTTAAAAATAATTATGATTAAAAAAATGATGCTTTAGGGATAAATTTTTTTCTCACGTTTACATTCTTATAATAATTAGCTGAAGTACGGGCGGATCTACGGGGGAGGGAGGGACTTTGTGGCTGAAGCCCTCCCCAAAATGGTAAAATATAACCATGTTTTATGGAAAAAAATATTTAAAAATTCTCTCTTAAAGTATTATCTTTCGTGTAATTACATTTAAAAGGACATTAGGAATCCCTTAAACACCATTTCATATAGGTAGTTAGTTTCTTTCTTTTTTCCAAAGTAATTATCTTTATTTTTATGAGAAAGAAAGCTTCCAGGCTAAATCCAAAATTAAATCCCTGATTTAAATCTTTCATACTTTTATATACAAATGCATAAGAATAATTAAGTATTATAGACATATAGTATCTCTTTTTCTTTAATTAATTTCTATTTAGCTGCGTCTACACATTACCTAAACTATGGCGAGCACGAGAGTTTAAAAGAGTAATTGTGCTTTGCTCGCGCATGTTTCCCTTTGCAATGTTTTACTTGATGTCTATGGTAAAGTCTGAAGTTTTAGAAAATTGTTTGTTTTTTCTTTAAAATATCTCTTGCCTGTGTTTTCAAAATTTAAATTCAACATATTATTCGCGAACACTAAGTTTTCACGTTAATATAACTAGACGCACACGTTAACATATCATGGGTTTATAGCTAAAAGTCTTTAAACTATATTTTAGCGAATTTTCTGTGTTTTTTTTTACCGATAAATAAGATCTTAATTCAGCAAAAGGTTCTTTAAAGTTAAGGTACATCAAGAATGTACCTTGTGACTTTTTTCAATAAACCGATGATATTGTCAATCAATTTTTTCAACTTGTTGGCAGGTATTGATGTACGACTCACATTAACTTTTAATAATATTAATAATAATAATATTATAACATATATTTATAATATTAATCTCTAAACGCGCCTTTAAGTGTCTAAACGTTACTGTCAGTGAACCTAATTTTCAACCTTTAAAAAATCAGGAGTTGTATTGAATTCTAAAATAGTTTTTTTTTTTTTTTTAATGAAAAATGTAGGATAAAACATCTATACACAGTAGCGAATCCAGAACATAATTTGTTTTTGTTTTTCCTCTTCATATTAATGGTGGTTACTCCAAAAAAAAATTAAAGAAATACTTATATGAAATATTTCAGTGATCCTTGAGAGCAAAAAAAAAAATAATAATAATAATTTCAGGAACATAAATGCTTTTAGAGATCAACTTTCTTTATTTTTTTCTTAGCACGTCCTTACATTTTGTAACTCTAAATGCATTACAATTTAAAAAGAAATTATATTGTGATTGTGTAAGTTGTTATCTTAGATCACACACCAAAACAAATATGGATCAATGAAAAAAATATATTATTTTTCCATTTTGGGTGGAGGGAGGAGCCCGAAAGTCCTCTCCATTTAGTGTTGCCCAAAATCAGTCTTGGTCTTGCACTTTGCAAGACCAAGACCAGGACTGGTAAAAATAAACGATTTTTTAAATAAAAATTAAGGAAAAATACTTAGTAATACTCGACAATTTTAGTTACGTTTTTACAATTTTAGCATTTAATTTTTCATTCGGGCTTAGTTAGGTTTCTCTTATCTAAAAAATTACAGTAATATCTATATATAATCAAGACCAAGACCATGACCAAGACTGAGTTTGCAAGACCAAGACTCGTCTCGATCTCGCATTTGGGCAACACTATCTATCTATTACATCCGCTAGTTGATACAAATACACACAAACTATAAAAAAAAGTTTTCTGAAAATTATAACAACGATATTTTATTATTTCAGAGCACCGGAAATTTTTGGTTCTACCTGCTCGACTGTGTTTTTTCCGTTTGTATAATTGGAATGTTAGTCGTGTTTGTATGGCGTGGATGTTGGACACTTTTGGACATATTTCTGTGCCCGGATAACATGGTGTTGTCAACATGGATGTCTCTTGTAAGTACTATAGTCATATTTTTTCTTTCATATATTTAAGATTCCAATTCATTAATTTTATATTTTATTTTTAATAATTAGTTTGCTTACACGCATGACGCGCGATTGCGAAGACCAATTCAAAAACTCCTATATCTTCGTTAATATTGGTCAGATTATTATATATTTTATTTTATTTTATTTTTCAGTTTAGTTTTGCAGATAATTCAATTAATTTTCAAACGAGTGTTGTGTGATTCGAACAATTTAAAAACCAATAAAAAATGTACGGGTTTCCATGGAAGTCAATGCAAACTAGTATTGAATCTATAATAGATAAATACTAGTTGGCCTGTGCGAATAATTCGCAGACACTTTTGATTAGTGAAGAAATAGCAAAACAATATGGAAATAAGTAGATCCTATGTATTATGTAAGGAGGGAATTAATATTTTTTCCTTTGTCGATTACAATATTCCATTTAATATAATAGACCAAAATATTTGTATAAATTGCTTTGCTGAGACCTATTTTAAACGCTGACAGGAAAGGTAATAAAAATAAAAAAAACAAAAAAATGCCCCGATCTTGTGATATTATATATTATTAAAAAAAATTAAATGTAAGAACAAACAAATGCCTTTAAGAAATAATAATCAGCCAGGAAAAAAGTATAGTAGACTATTCTACTCCTAAACGCAATATCTTTAAACAGGAAGACATTATTAAGTATACCAAAACTAATGGACTGTATCTTTGTTAATAGATGTCCGATTTTTATGATTATTTTTTTGTTTTGTACGTAATTTAGTAATCTTTTTAATTATCATTGCTACAATCCAGAAAAAATGCATAATTTTTTAGTCATTCGCATATAAAGTTTCTTATCCGTCATAACTTTTTTCCAGCAATTTTGGGGGGATAGGACTATTTTTCGCACGTGAAGAATATCTTAAAAATGAGTGGTTAATCACTTGATTTGACGAAGTTATGGCGTTCCGACAAAAAAACACCTTTTAGATAATAATATATAGGATAATACGTAATTTATTGGCTTATATAAAGGTTTAGTGCAGTAGATGAACGACAAATATGAAAGTTATATTTTTCTGAAAAATCTCGGAATTTACACATAAGCCTAATGATTACTTTAACTTTTGAAGAAAATATATATTCTTGAAGGAAATTTAATGCTCAACAATTTTCGTCTTTATGACTTTTCAGTAAAAATAAGGATATAAAGAAATGAAAAGTCAAGCATAGACCAAAATGTAAAGAAAAATATTTCTTTTCATAATTAGGAAATAATTAGCCCGGATATTTCGGAAACTATATGAGATAGCGAAAAAAATAATTGGCTTTAATTTTGTTAAACAGTTTCTTCACTAGGTGGAATAGTTTTTCTGATAAAAACGAAAAACGTAACTTTTTGGATGTCTCTCACATCCTTGGAGTAGGGACTTTTAATATGAGTTATTTTTTTACTTTCACTTACCTATATATGTGATATATAGTAAGGGTAAGTATTGCAACCATGAAACATTTCGAATCTGAGTTTCCAACGGAAATAGACAGATAGATAGATATATAGATAGAAAAATAATTTTATTCTGGGACACAGTCCCTTGAGAATAACAAAATAGAACAAAATTAAAAGATCACATCTGGCCAAAATAAAATCAATCGAAAAAAGAAATAATGTAAAAAAAATATAAGGTAAACATTCTATATACAAAAAACGAAACTATATACAAAATACACGTTTTGAGATCCCCTGAGTCCAGAATTTTGAGATAACCAAGTCCCGCAAAATGGTCTGTGTGTTAACAGTCTAGCTCAACAAAGAAAAGTATATTTAAGCTTTTTATATGCTTGTGATGTTACGGCAACTTTTTCGTCAAAATCCGCTAACCGGATGTGGTACTTTATATAATCGATTTAACACATTTTTACAATTTTCTCAAAAACCGCTTAAACGATTTTGATTGAACTCAGTATATCAGTGTATTATTAAGCAGTTTTTAATATAATGTAGGTTTTATTCTCATTGTTGTTCTCTGACAGGGCTTAAATGGCTAATTTTCGATATTAACTTCCTGTAAAGTACCTTTATTCTTTTTAAAATTTGAAATAATCAACCTTTTCACATTAATCTTTGATTAAAAAAATAGTGAAATATAAAATATGAAAGAATTTGATAACTAACTAAAGGAGATATAAGAGATCATAAATGATAATAGTTGTAATGGAAGAACCGAAAGAATACGAGCGCTTCCGAGCTCGCCCGAAAGAGTACAACCTTCCATTCGTAATATAAGTATAATATAATACGAACTCAGGCAATATTATGTAAACATACAAATGCAGTTTGCGTACATGCTATTGTTAGAATTATTTAATATTTAATTGTATAAATTACAGCATTATAAATATTAAAATTAGTATTTATGAGGATACTTGTACAAATAAAAATAACCACAATGAAATATATATAATTATAGCGTCTATTATTTTTACATTCACTTCATCTTTGTCTGAAAATACTTATTTCTGCTAACATTAGGGTGGTTAGTGAAAGTCGTGTGATGCTAGCAGCAGATTGATTTTTTTAATATTCATGAGGTATTGTTCTTTGCAAGATATATATTTTATAACTCTAATGTTAAGCTAATAATCGTTGTAGGATTTCTGCTAAAACTTACGCCCGAGTATAAAGACGATGGTCCAAGTCAATTGTACAGTATTATTTGATCGGCTTATCAATACGAAAGAATAAACATTTGATTAAGTAGAATGGAAGTGGATTCTATCTGTAGTCTTGTGTCAATATCATCAACACCATGCCATATCATCAATATTATCATGTCATTGTTGCCGTCGGGAATCTCCATGGTTACAGAGAATAATAATATGTATAGTGTTTATGTTATTATGATCATCTCATTGTAGCTATTATGCACACTGTGAAGAAGTTAATTACACATAGCTCTAAATCTTTATGAGGTATAATGAAGAAAATTTCCAACTTCTTCGCAGTTTTGAGTTACCAAGCGTTTTCATGTTTCTTGTTGGTACACCGAGTTGAAATGGCTTTATCCTACTTCCCGACGGCAATTCCTTCTTCGTGTTTTTCTTTTCCAAGTCCTCATAACCAAAAACCCTCCATACATCTTAGAACTCCTTACTTCACGCTTCTCTATCCACTCTCTCAACACCAGTTCTCAACCTATAGATTTATATATTCTCTCCTGTAAAACCACTTCCTTCAGTAAATCCTTCGTCATTCGTACTACCTCCTTATGGAACTCCTTAACCATCTCCATACGTCAAACCACGTCCATAAACTCCTTTAAACAACTCCTATTCCACCGCCTACTACAAACTTTAACTTCCGCAAGCTTGTAAAAATTTCTGGGTTATATAATTACGTTGGTCACCAGAAGTTAATTGATAAAACATTTTATTTTTATTTATTCACTTTTTTTCTATTTCAGTATCTCTTGTATGTATTTGTGTTTTTCCTTATTATTTTTTGTAGATATTTATATTTACAATTTCTTTAGTATTTTTTGTATATATTTGTATGATATCTACATGCCAGACTAATGTACATTTTTTTTTAAACTCTACTATTATTCTAAGGGAACTTCACTCCCAGAATAAAAATTATTTTTCATTTCATTTCATGCAAAAGACTTGGTAAATGAACAAAACTAAGAAGCATTAGTTTTTCGACTTCTAACTTACCTCGAGAGAAGTAGTGTACTTCATAAATTACTCTCTTCATCTATCTACTAAATTCATTCCGCAAAATAATGTTTCCGTTATATTTGGTTTATTTTCAGATAGTGTGGTCATTATTTTCTTATTCCCTTAAAAAATATTTTCAGAACTTAACAAAAACACCAACATATATTTAAAGATATACAACAAATTACAAAATTAGTTTGGTAGAAACAGGCTTTTATTTAAACTTTATTGAAACTCATGAAAACTAACATTTTTATTCGTGCCTAAGCTGTTGGAATATATGAGTTAGGTATGCTCACATTAAAAACATAAGAAATTCAAATTATCAAAACAGATCTCAGTGCGTCGTTATCTTCATTAATAGAAATATAATGACAGTAATCTATGAAGATGCAGTGCATCGCTTCAATCATTATATTGGATGAGAAACAGCCACCTATCCCTTGGAATCATTGGGGAGAGGGCAAACGATATTCTCGTCCCCTCAACATTTTTTTGGGAGTGGTGGCGATCGTCCCCTCACCTCCCCGATGTCTGCACCTATGCTGTCCTGTTTTCCTTTTCTCCGTCACGGAGAAAATTCTGTTATAAAACAGCTGCTTTCAAACCTATATTCAAATCACGTAGTATCTGACCACCTGTTTGAATTCTACTAAATAATTCGATAGTTTAACTTTCACATTGCGTGGTGTATATCGTACCTCTCACATTAGAGTGCGAAATTTCTTCACGTAGAACAGGGTTTTTTTTACCTTGTACACCATGATAAACTTTGTTTATTTCTCTTCAGAACGTATTTTATATTAACCTAACTATTATTCTAGCAGTACGCATATCAGATAGGCTTATGCATATTTGAGTAATGATTCAAATTTTACATTATATCAAGTGTCTACTTAAAAATCCAAACTCCAGTCTTAATGGTTCTAAAACTCAAGATTTTAAAGCCACCCGCCATCGGATATCGAAGACATCTTGACCTAAAAGTCATTATAATTAACAATTTTTAGATACAATACTCTTACAAAAACCTACTACAAACCACGATAACTCTCCTTTTTTGGCTTTGTAGAATTATTCTGAATCCCAGAACTTTCTCGCCACTCTTGTATTTAAACTTTTCTCATCTCACCTTATGCAGCCATTTCCTCTTCCACACCTTCTCCTTTCGTCTGTGTCAGTCTAACAAATTCTTCTCTGACCGCCCCCTATCAGTCATAGTCTCAACCACTCTATCCTTCCCTCAAGCTAGGGGTCTTTCTCTCCTTCTA